ATTTTTTGCAGTATTTTAATGTAATATTTCCTCCATTTTAAGTACATTTAAGTAAAACAAAATGGGCAAAACAAATAATAAATTTATTACTTCTCAGTAATTTCTATCCAGTGATATCATACCGACGAGTTCAAAAAGAAAGCGACGAATTATTGTATACGGTTTGGTCACTCGTCATGGTCCGCAATCGGTTGCCAGCGCAAGTGGTTAGTATTAAGAAAAAAACGACTAAATGGGATTTGAATGGATTATCAAAAAAAAAAAAAAAAAAAATCCTGTGAAGATCATTTTGACAATTCTTTTGAAGATTATCGTACTTTTTTTTCCATCCATTTTTTATAATGCGATTGTAGTCATATCACGATCTTTTATTTTTTGATATATTTTTTCATATAGAACCGCTCACTTCTCGGTTGCGCCTTCAATACTGGAATTATACACTCTATATTAATGAAAATGACTCCTATACGATATATTTTCTCAACAATTGAATGGGAATCTCGAATAAGGGCCTGTGTTATATTTTTGTCGAAATTGAGTTAATTCCACAGTCTTTGGAGATTGTTTTAATGTATACTGATTGCAAATATTCCATCAGCAGACGATAATGAAAGAAAAGTAGCACTTGACGTGTTTGAAACTTATGGAAGGAGTTATCTCGGAATGTGGTAAGTGTCACCCTTAGCCGAGGTTATCGTTTAATTAACAGGTTTCATTGCTCACATTTACAAGAATTACCGGTTTTAGAATTCAAACGTGCTTGGAATGAAACAATTTCTACATTAAAGTCTCACGCAAATGGAATGGAGAGTTAATATTAAATTAATATTAAATTTGTGGCGATCCTTTCAAATTTAATCTTGTATAAGAAAATCACGAGTATCTTTTTCTTTTTTTTCCTTTTCGTTAATATCCAATGTATCTGATAATAAATTTCTTTTTTTTTTAACAATAGGATAAAATTTACAAAGAAATAGATATAAAGTCATATAAATTTTGAAGAAATATCATTTTATAATAAATAAATTTGCTTATCATTATTATGCTCTTATATTTGCATTACATGATTTCGTTGTAACAATTATTGATTTTCAAATTTCAAATTAAATTGAAAAAAATTGATACGGATTTAATAGTAACCTATTTAGAAAGAGCTAGAAATTTTTCAAAATGAAAAACTTTTAATATTTCATAATATTAAAATTTTATATTTGATACTTTCAGTTGATGATTCAAACAAATTTAAAAACTTAATATTAATTTGCATTTAGTATTTATTTTAATCATGCAAATTTTTAGAAAGGTTATTTTATGATAATACTTCAGAAAGTAGTTACGGTTAATTGAAACTAATTGAAAAATAAGATAAAGAACGCGATAATGTAAAAATTATCGACAGAGGTGAAGCATGATGGAAAATGAAACCGTTTTCCTAGTTACGTTCCATAAAAAACCAATGACTCGAAAAGAAAAGTCATTTGTCACGAAACTCGAGTATCGGCTCTCAAACGTGTGGACGGATATTGTAAAAAAAAATCTAAAGACATTGCCATAAGAATTTTTTTAACCGCAGGGCAAAATTTTTCAATCCTATTGCTAGAAAAAAAGGACTCTTGAAGACGTACATATTTACGATCGTGAATTGGAACGTAAAGCGTTTCTAAGTTTCCTTCTCACAAATTTCACGTTGTTCACGTTGTTTGTTATTTTCGTTCCTCTATCTTCGTCAAATAAAAAATTACACTCGTTTTATGGTATAATCGTATAATGGTATAATCGAGTAGGAAGTGATTCTGCATGGAAAAATGAATGGAAAGAGGAAAGAAAGAATAAAATTTTTTCATTAAAGCCTTCGTTTTCGAGAAAATCGAGTCTGAAAATTTATCTAGTGTAGCAAAGCAATTTTTAACGAAAAATATTCAAAGCTTATTTTCTTGAAAATGACGCCTCGAACGAAAGGAGTTTATTTATTTTTGCGCATCTTCGCGGTGAAGATCCGCGCCAGTCCAGTACGAAATTAATTAAATTCAAGCATACCCTGTAAAACTTTAAATTCGATTTTCACGAAAACAAAAGTTTTAATGAAAAAATTTTATTTTTTCTTTTCGACTTAGTTTTTTTTTTTGTTCACTTAGAATTTACTCGATTGTACCATTAATTATTATGAGACACGAATCAAGTTTATTTTTTTTTATAAAATTCTATAAAGAACAAAATTATTATATATCATATAATAGTTATAATATATAATATTTATAATATATAATATTTTTATTTTATAAAGAATAAAATTATTATATATTATATAATAGTTATAATACATAATATTTTTATATTATATTATTTCTATAATTTATATTATTTTATATTATAATTTTATATTTAATATTATAATATATAATATTTTCTTTATAAAACTTTATAAAACTTTTGTATGTACATGATCCATATGAATTTTAAATTTTATGTAATTGTGAACAGAGAATGAATTTTAAATTTTATATAATTATGAACAGAGAATTGTTTACCACGACCTTTCTGTTGACAAATAATAGTAAGAAGAAAGTCTGCAGCGACATTTTTTGGAACGTGCTTTGTTCAGTATCGTTTCATTTTGCTTCATGAGATTTTTTCCATATATATATCGATTTTAGGGATATATGTGCGTACGTAGCTTGTGCCAGCTGCTACACGTATATATACGTCAATGTGAATTGATGCGTCCGATTCTTTGTGAAAACGTGTAAAGGATCGATAATTGCAAGCACGGCCAGGTATGCCAGCGTAGTTGAATCAGGGTTATGTAAAAATTACCTCTCCATATGCGAGGGTAGAAGGTTTGTTACGAGCTGTTAGTGCGACTGCCTAGCGTGAACGTGAAAGGGGACACGTGCTACCTTTGACCTGCCATAACTGTAATCGTGTTTAATGGCATTTCCGCAATATTAAATACATTATCACCTTTATCAATAGTAAAACTAATTGTTACAACTATATTTCTTTCACCTTAATGCTTTACGACCGTTCGAAACTTTCTTCATTGGATCGACGTGACATTTTTTACGATTTGACATGCAAGAACTTACAAACGTATCATGAAGATAAACGAGCGAATTTTTGGTGGGGAAAATCTCGAAATGTTTGAAACTTGGATAAATAAATAGCAAGAATATTTCTCTTCGTTATTTGCTGCGCCATTTTTATGAAATACCGGATGTTGTTGCCTGTTTAATCATATCATTTTGAAAACTGCACGCAAATGAAAGATACGAATTCCGTTTTTTTGTTGTTGTTATGTTTAGCTTCTATCGATATATTCATATTCACATATTTTTATGTTTTAGCAAATAATTCGTTTAGATATTCTCATAATCTGATCTAGTATTAATATTAATATTTATATTATAACACATTAGAGAAACACAATTAAAGAAATAATTTGAACAAAGCAATATATTTTTTATTTTATTAATATGCATTATTTACAATAATAGTTAAGACAAAATTCATCATAAAAGGTATTCATAGAATGTAACATTATAACATAATTAAATTATATCATAAAGTTCAATAAGATTTTCGTAATTGAAAGACTATCTCTGTAACGCTTTTTAGTGATCGTGTTTTTTAAAGTTGGCCACTTTTTTCGCAAGAGAGCGATATCTTTCTAAATATTATGTTTCGTCAAATGGAAAAAATTCGTGAGAAGTCTTGTTTGATTTTGAAAATATGTAAAATATGTGCAATTGTTATTATACAAGGTATGCTAAATTTAAATGTTTGGTAGCATATAGAGAATCGATATGTATCGATATATTAAGAAAAAATGGTTTAGAGATTTGCTCGTATTTGCTCCATTTTAGAGAAAATCGAGAAAAAGGGAACAAAATGGCTTTTATTTTCTCATTTATTTAATAAGTTTATTCGATGCCAATCGACTCAAGAGAAACAACTGACATACCAAGTGCATCAAACATCATTAGAATAATATCTAGCTGCAATCAGTTGTACATATTGCTGCAAGAAGCCAGTTGTTTCTTCATTAAATATGTAGATATATGACAACAGATGATAAAATAGATGATAACAGGAATAAGTGTGAATAAATAAGCGAATAGTCATGCAAATAAATAAATGAAAAAATATGAAACTTTCTTGTTTTTTCTTCATGATTTTCTACAAAATGGAGCGAAAACGAGCAAATCTCTGAAGAACTTTTCTCCTTAGTTTATCAGTCATCAATTTCCTATATGCTCCAGAAGTTTCAATATTTAAAATCGAGATACCTTGTACATGTAGTTCGGTTTAGAAAGAAATATGCAATAGCGTCTTATAATTTAATGTTTTTCTTATGATATTTTATATTTATGTTTTGTCCATATATGTATATAGGACACTAACGCGAATAATAAAAACGAACACAAAATAAAATTAATAATATAGCACATTTTTTTAAATATTGCTTATGCATCATAATAATAATTAATTACTCTTTTTTATTGTTAGATTTAATATACGTAAGCTAAATCTTTGAAAATCCATTTTATATTTTTATTTAACTATTTATCAGTCATGTAAATAGATATATTGGCAATATATTTCATAAAAATGAGATTAAAAAATATGGTATAAAGAGAAAGTATAAAATTGCAAACGAGAACAATATATATCAATATTATAATACCTATTTTATAACAATGAATAATCTCTGAAAATTTGATTTACAGATTTAAAGAATTCGCAGTAAAAAATATTGATTTTACAAATCGACCGAACTTTTTTCTACATTTGGATACTTTAACAAGTAAAGTAAGCTGTTTTAACCGTGGCAATGTTAATAAAAGAATTCAGGGCACAAGTTGGCTAATGAGTCGAAGATGGTAATTCCCAAAATGATTTTTCGCCTTCTCTGCTCGGGGCTTTCGTTTCTTTTTCATTCTCGTGGTACCGTGCTAAAAGCTAATGGTCGCTAACGCTGGCTTTACGCTCGCTTTTTTTTCCCTTTTTCACCCATTTTCGCTTCCTCCACACGCAGCTCATCTGCAAACAGAATTCTCATCTGAACAAACTTTGAGAAATAAAATACCGTTTCGTGGCCCACCGTCGGAAATAATTTCACGTAATTTCTGATTGCGCCAGTCAAACAACGATTCGTTTTTAATAAAATTGTCGACGTTTGCGAAAGGATTTTTACGCATTACATACGAATCATTACATTAGTTTACTTCTTCGTCAAAATGAACCGTTATAATTTAAAAATAAATTATTGTCATATTGTTGGTATCATTGTAATTGGTATTAATAATACATTATTATAAACATATCCAAAACAAAAATGTCTGGAATTGAAGAAAAAATAATGAAACATCAACAGACTGTTCCAAGATAATAAGGGTGATATTTCAACGTTAATTTTGCAAAAGGAAAAAGTTTCATTATCGAAATTAGAACGTATTTTTAAAGGATATTCTTCACGCGGTGTTAATTGTATGTGATTATTTTTCACGATGTTACGAAATTACAATACTACAGTATATTAACAAAAGAAAAAAAGAAGAAAGTTTTGGTTTGGATGTTTAACAGCTAAAACGGAGCTCCGTGAAAACTAAAAGGACGTGTACCTTGTTAGTGAAGGTATATTCGCAGTCCTCCATTTTCTCAACACTCTCTGGCTTTAATGCACCTTCCGACTGAAGCGAAAGCACGAGCCGCGCATACCCCAACGAAGATCTGTTTGTGAGGCCATTAGGGATCAGCCAGGATCATAAATTCATTGATATATTTACTGTGTAAACGCAGCCAACATACTGCGCAACGCCTTTGTAACGAGCTGTCTTAACCCTCGTAACCGCTCGACTCGAATAATTCTTCGCCTTTCCTGATTGTTTTTAATCGTACTGAAATGATGATGGCACCGCGCATTTGAACTTCTGCAAATGTTACTCAGCAGTGTCGGAAGCTCGCTAAATACGTATGACGTGTGCGATGATAGAAATTCTAAGATGGTTTCTGACGCGGCTGTAATATTCTTATAAATGTTGTAATAAATTATCATTAGACTGCAGATTTTTATGCGAATATTCATATTTCTATAAATAAAATTTGGAAGAAAGAAATTGGATAAAAAATTGTTTTCTGTTAATCATTATTAATTATTATACAGAATATTGCGCTTTGGATATTTTATATTCTTTTGCACATTGCATGTATTTTATGCAGTTTTGCATCTTCGAATTTCTTATAAATATTACTATATTATATTAAATCTTATACTAAGTTTTAAAAAATTATTTATAAAAAATGGTATATGAGTATTGAATAATACTTTATTTAAACTATTTAAAATTAAACACGTGCTATTTTTATTTAAAAAATAATATGTATTAAATATGTTTTTAGAATTGTCATATACAAAAATGATAAAAACTTGAATTTCAAATTTAATATAAAAGCTATGCGATGAAATACGCTTGAAAAATCCTTATATTTTTGTAGTTGCTTCTAAACATTGGTTCAATACGTCATACAAAAAGATTCAAAATTTATATTTTGAATTTAGAAAGCAATTTTCATGTACATTGTAAACTTAAAAAAATAGAAAGTATAAAAATTTATGTGGCACTAAAATAGAAAATAGAATTAAAAAAAAGTATAAAGTATAAAAATTCACATAAACACTGAATTCTGTTATAAATTTACTTAATATTCTTTTAAGAAATAAAATATTTAAGGGTTCAGTATAAAATAATATACGAAATTTCTTTTTTAGATTTTTGAAAAAAATTTGAAATTCAGTATCCCACAGTATTCATTAAAAATTTATTTTTCTTAATAAAATATTTTCAAAATTTTTAACCTTATAAGAATAATGTATTTGAATCCTTAAACTTCAATTTTTATACGAGAAACCTTTTACTACATATTTCTATTATATTGAGTATTTGTATTATAATAAAATACACTATCCTCTAATATTTGCTATATTCGAAGTGTTCATTGTTTCTTAAAATTATTGTTAATTAATAAATTATTATTAATATTCGTAATAATTTGAAATAGGTATTCATAATGCTTCAAACAATACTGTTGTACCTTTTGTTTGAATTAAGATAAATCCTAATTAAAATAAAACATTTATGTATTTATGATATAAACATTCAATATCTAATGAAAAATAAATGTAATTATTAAGGATTAAATTTAATAGTTCGTTAAATTTAATTAAACAGCAACATTCTCGTTCTCTGGATTGACAAGTTTTTATTAATTTTGAAATCAAATGGATTATTTCCATGTATGTCGATCTATTCGTAAAAAAAGATGGCTTAGAATGCTGGCTTAAAATGTTCAAGGAACTTGAATCGAAGCGTTCGAGCATTCACGTTTGGATATCCGAAAAACGCCAATATTTGAGGCGAGCAGATTTCGCTACTTTTTTAATTAATATTTTCAGTGCTGGAAATAGCTGGAATTAATCTGCCGGAGGGTCGAGGTCTGCGAATCCCGTCGACGCACAATTTCTGGAAACAGCGGAGGGTGAATTATTTTTCCGCTTAATCCATCTTCTGCTTTTCTATCTCGGTAGCAACGAGCTTTGCATTCGTGTTCGTGTTCGAACGGCGGTCGGGAGTTTTTTGATTAAAAAGTATCGGGCGATGAAAATTGGCGATTCCGTTGGTGCACACAATTTTTTACATGCCACTTCGTGTTACACGTGATACACGTGAAAAGTCGGGATTTCCGCTTTTTGTGGAAAGTTAAAATTTCGGCGGATTTAGAGGAGATAATAATATGACCGATTAAAGGAGCGGATTTGTTTTCCTTGGAGATTTCAAAGTGGTAGTGGCTGTGACGGAGGAGCGTTTACTGTGTAAATTTACATCGCAAACGTGCCGATGAATTTACGAGACTCCTACGTTCCTCTTTCTTGTGTTTACAAATAGACGATACTACCCTATCGACCGATCAAATGTAGACCATGTGTCCGTTGGAGGAATGCGTGTCATGTAAGTCTTGTAAAAAATATTTTTGGAGCTACTGCAGTGGCTCGTTCGGAATTTATAGCGTACAGTATGCTATGAGTAAGAATAGCTCGATTTATGGTAGTTGTTCAATGCCACAGAAAGGTGTAAACGCGGTATTTAGAATAATTGCGCGCGATTTTTTGTTACTTTTATAATTGTTACTTAACAAAATTTTTCAATGACATTCGTATAGTAATACATGGATCGAAAAGAAAAAAAAAATTAATAGTGATTAGTAAATAATTTTGAAAATAGGTGTAATATGCGTTCTAATATCATATAATATAACTTCAACAAGAATTAAATTGTTCTATTATATTTATTTATTAAATTAACTCAAAAATCATTTTTGTTTATCTATATTAACTATATTAGCTGTGCGTAATAAAATTTATTTTATAAAACGTAAATGTGTATTTTTTTAAAGAATATATAAAGTTCCTATGACAACAAGTTATTATTTTTATTCAAGTTTTATCGAGTTACATTGTATTTGTAACTTTAATCACATACGTCAAATTCGATTAATATAAATCATCTTAACCATGCACTTACAGTTAGATTGAAATAACATCTCTCATACATGACTTCGGATCAAAAGTGTATTTGTGGATTAAATTCCATCCTAAGTGATTAAAAATGATTTTCATTGTCAAAAACTTCAATCAATGAAACACTGTAATTATAATATTGTAATTATATTGTAATGATCAGACTCTTCCACCAACTAAAGATTTTGACAGTGGAAGAACATTTGCATAGCACAAATTGTTTAACGAGAAGTGACCTATACTGATTGACTTCTGAGCCTCCATAATTGCATTTTTTTACAAGAGGCTTAATTGAATTTAAAGATTTGAGGTCATCAAATTTTACTCTATTGGATTCTTATTTATGAAAAAGATGACAATGTAAACAATAACGTAAATTTTTTTATAGCTGAAAGGAAGAATTATGCAGACTTAATTAATCGCACAATTAATTAAGAAAGTTATAATATCATCCATCTTCATTCTTAGCAATGCTACTTTTATTAATTCGGTCAGTAAATGTAACTCACAAAATTCTTAATAAGTGCGTAAGTTTCTTTGAACAAATTGCATTCTTTATTCTTAGTTTTATTTTTGTATTTTATTTTTCGTTCGTATTTTGTATACGATCTGTTTGAAACTCGCTAATCCTGCTTTATATACAGTATATTGAATGCTGCATATACAGTATATTGAAGTTTATATCTCATAGAGTGCTTATTGTAATTAATTGCTTAAACTATACGAATATATCTCCTCCCTCTTAACTAAGTTGAAATAATGAAAGTGGAGGGATGGAAAGAGAGAGAGAGAGAGAGAGAGAGAGAGAGAGAGAGACATTTAATGTTATGTTAATAACATATACATTTAATATTATGTTTATAATCGCATACGATTCAACTAAATCATTCCATCATTATACAAACTGACTTTAATTTTGGCAATATTTGAAGTGTTGCGAAATTATTATTACCTGCAAAATGTTTCAAAACGAAATTTATTTCTTTATAATAATATATATTTTATGATATATAATTTATTTTACATATAATTTGTTATAATAATTAAATGATTATTATTAACTAATTTTTTTTCATATTCTTATTGTATCATATCATATTCTATATTGATTTATCATCAATATAAGCGCATATTTTTATGTAGCATTTGTCTAAACTGACTAGTGAACGTTACCCGGTAGATACTAATTTTAATTTATTTTCGTGAAATACAAAAAATAAAAATTAATATAAGATTATCTGTAACTTACATTATAACATTATATCAATATAAATAAGTAAACATTATTTTTGATTAATATCTGAACGAAGAGAGAAATGATTATGGCCGTTTCAATAATTTGAAGAGATTTCAATAATTGTTTAAAAGGTAAAAAAGGAACGATACAAGTTTTTTACCGATTTTTCCTAAAAGATCTTTGAATTAATGATCTGGATTTATTCCAGTATTTTTCACGGAAAAGGAACGGCCTTTGTAACAAAAGCAAAATAAGATGATGTACCAGAATTTCTCTAGATTTGTTCAATAGTATTTCCTTGATCGTATTTTCCTGAAGCCGAATGAAAAGATGGCTGCCCCGTAAATCCCAGGTCGGTAGTTTGTCTCCAACTGAAGAAAGTGTTCGTTTCTTTGGGATATTAGGGTAGAACGAAATCACAGCCGGAATCTCCGGCGACCTGTGAAATTGGAAAAACCAGGTAAACGTTCGGCGACACCAAGCTTCACAGAGAAACCGTTTGGATGAGGGTTACTGATTTATTTCCGGCTATAATAAGGTGCCCACCAGAACTAGCAAAATCAGATAATAAACCATCGTTGGTTAAAGAAAAGTCTGAACAGTCAACAGATTTGTCCCAATTAGAGCTACCGATCACCGAAACGATATTCTTTCAAGATAACGTGTTCTCATTTTTTAGTGTTTGTCCTCGTTTTGCAGTAATATGACTCATCGGTGAAGAGTGTATATTTTTATACAGAGTGGAGACTATTTCAATGGTCTATAGAGACTATATATATAACTCCATTGTTTCTAGAGACACATGCAGATAAACTTATGCAGTTAATAAAAGTTATTCGATACTAAAAGGACCATGATATGGAAGTAATTTTTTTTTTTGTAGGAAAGGTTTCGAAGAGTTCAACGTCACTTTTTTTA